TGACATTAAAATTTATGACCCTGAGCATCTCATTTTATTCAAGATCATTTTGCTTTAAATTTATTTTGAATTTAGGAACTTGTAACAATTTGGAAAAGCCGTTGTTTGGTGCGGCATTTATGCCTTTGGCTCGGTGAAAATTAATTTTTTCGACAAAATAATTTTATTTCAAATTTCAAGGCTAAGAGAACCTGTTTACGATGACAAGATGGCAGCTCCTGTTGGTATATTATTTTTTAGATTTTATAGGGGCAATACACCGTCGACATATACGGATTTCCATATTTTTCCGGGCCTCGTTGGGTTTTCAAGATTTACACTAAATATTATATGTTCATATTTTTCGATTGATAGTAGGGTTGCCGTTTTCGGTTTTTCGAGCTTGGTTTTTTTCTATTCGATTCGTTTTCGAGCTGAAAAGCCTCGGCTCGCTCGATCTTTCGAGTTTCGGGTCGAGCGAGCTGGCAACTCTAATTGATAGTCCATATAAATCCGTTCCCTAATTATAACTCATACGACCAAAATTTTATTTTAAAATTTGTTCATCTAATCGAAATGGGCGTTTATTTTACTCTAATTTGTGAACGGTATTTTTGTCGGACAGCTATTTATACCTTCACGAAAAATATAATATCAATTTCTTATCTCATTTTATTTTCTAGCCTCAATCAATTATTTGAAGCCCTCCTCAAGAGAAGCAAGCAGATTAGTTAGTTAATCTTTCTGGGTATTAAGTAAGCTTTTAAATTAGATGCTCAGTTCAACAGCAGAAATTCCAACAAAATGGAATGCTCTCCTTATGCAATGGGGACAATTTATTGCCCACGATGTTTCAAAAACTACAATGTTAAATAATCAAGTAAATTAATGAAAAATTATTCCGGACCGGAATAATCCGGAGATCGTGTAAAAATTTCTGGATTTTGGACTCGGACTCTGTAAATTTCGTCCATCGCCGGGTTGTTATGTATCGACTTGCGGTGTGTCCGATACTAACAGAAAGACTAGACTACCTAACAAGGTTTATCACGAAGCTAACAATACAATATAATAACGAGACTATACGCTGGAGTAGAATACTAGCTTTGACTACGGACTAAGACTGACTAACTGGCGACTACCCGACTACTAAAAGGCTGCGCCTTTTATACTAAGCGCGTCACCCTAACACGGGCACTCATTTAAGATTTGTAGAACAATTTATTTTTGTTTACATTTACAGATCTGTGCAAGTTGTCTTCCAGAAGGCGGTACTTGTTTTCCTGTAATGCTTAGCCGCTTGGATCAAACGTAAATATTTTTAAAATTTATTTTTTAGAAAAAAATTTTTGGATATAGTGTAGTGTACCGGTGGTAAAAGTTCGGGACGTGACATATGTCATTCGATTCGACAAGCTGAGTCGAACGGTATCACTCACTATTTTAGGAAATGATTCTGGACCTAGTTATAGGTCACTGAAAATCGAAAAACCATAGGGGGGAGTAAGCCCAACTTTGGGGTGAAAATTCTAATATGCAAATAATAGCTCATTCGAAAGAACTCTTCGGGCTGAGTCGAATGACACAAAAATCAGCTTGATTGAACAAGTTTGAGTTGAGATATAGGGCTCGAAATGGACAAAAACCATGGGGGGATTTTGGGTCAAAAATTCGATTCTACAAATGTTAGCTCATTCGAGAGAGCTCGTCGAGCTGAATCGAATGACACCAAAACCATCTTGATTGCACAAGTTTTGACAAAGTTACGATAGAAAAACTACAAACATAAACTTATGGGTCGTCGGCGAGGCGCTTGTGCAAGACCCCGCGCTTCGCGCGGGGTCTTGCGGCACGCGCCTTGCGGGGAGTCTACGGGCGCTGGGTCTGGGCTTGTAACATAAACCTATTCCTATCTCCCTTCCTCTTGACGTATTTGGGGCCTCCGTAGCAGCAAAAATCTCCACAGATGCCATAGGTAAGGAGCTAAAACAAACGTCATAATTTTGTAAAATCAAGTCGGATTTTGTTGATTTTGGTGTCATTCGACTCAGCTCGACGAGCTCTTTCGAATAAGGATTTTCGAATTTTTGCATTTTCGAATTTTTCACCCCAAAAAAGTGCTTGGTCCCCCGTTTGGTTTTTCGATTTTTCAGGACCTATAACTCGGTCTAGAATCATTTCCTAAAATAGGGAGTGGTACCGTTCGACTTAGCTCGTCGAGACGAATCGAATGACATATGTCACGTCCCGAACTTTTACCACCGGTACACTACACTACAGCCAAATTTTTAATAAAATTTTGTGAAATAATTTAAGATTTGGTCGTTTTCTCTGCCTTCCGGTTGCTTGCTCGTCTCCTGTAAATAAAATAATGAATAAAAGTTTTATTCTTTTAATTTCTAGGTCTGCGGAACAGGAGAAGACAATAATGTTCGACAGCAATACAATGAAAACACAGCTTTTATTGATGGATCTATGGTAAGCATTGGTGCTCGGATCTGATCCGGGTGGATTTTTTGGATTTTGGGTACATATCCCAAATTCGTCTCAAGAAAATTTATAGCCGGGAACAATGTTCCGGCTTACAAAAATAATGGCTTCGCCTCTTCGAAAGATTCAAACGTTTAGACAAAAATTAAAGTTTTTTAAAATTTAAAAATAAAACAATTTATATTGCATAAAAAATCCGGGTTTTCAAATTCTTGGCTACGCCGCAGCTGGCTCCCGGAGCCATACCCAGCACTGATCGGTTTATTAGAGGGGGTTCAGTCTAATAGAGAGTCGCAATATTAGAAGAAATACGATAATTATCAAAAGGTTTATGGAAGCAGCCATCGAGACCAATTTGTGTTTCGCCAAGGTGCTTTTATGAAAACAAACGTCCTTCGTTCCCGTGTATTTCCACCTGTCGACAATAATCAAAATATTATTGCTGGGGATGATAGAGCGAATATTTTTGTTGGTTTAGCTGCTTTGCATACTCTTTTTGTTCGGGAACATAATCGGTAACTTTATGAACAAAAAATTATTTTTTGTTGATATGTAATTGGGGTCTAACCAGCATGATTATAGAAAATTTTGAATTTATTTATTTAGACCCCTTAGTCTACTGAACTGGACTGAAAATTACCATATTTTGGTTTGACCGACTTCTAATTAATTTCTTAAGGTACCCAGACATGCATTTAATCAGGCAAAGGCTGAAGACCTAATTAATTGTGACCAGATTGATTCACCAAATTATTTTAAATGGAAGGAGGACCAACTTGGGATTTAAATAATTTTAATTAAATTTATAATTTTATATTTCCCAATTATTATTTTCAATATAATCTATATAATTCTAATAAGTTTTTCCAATGAAAACCTTACTTATATTTACGGCCGGATTTTTCTATTAAATTTTACTGTCTGTCCAATCCTTTCTGAATCAATCCAAAAATCATTTTTAATGTACCAAATTAATTCTCTTACAATCATTTTACAAAAAATAATTTAACACTTTTCTCTAAAATAAACAATATTGGGCTTTATTTAACTACTCGAATGATTAAATTTTCTGACAAATCACTCCGGCGACTAACGCTTCGCTATGTTTTTACATAAAATATGTAGGCATCTTCCGCAGGTATCACGACTTTTGCGCCGCGCCATTTGTGCCGCCATTTTTTAAAAAATCCGGATCCGAAAAATGCCGGATATCCGAAATTTTCAGTTCGGATATCGGATCCGGATATCCGAAGATTTCCAACTATCCGACAACCCTACTAAAGTGAGGTTCGGCTGTAGTTATTGATATATTTTTAATGATAGTGGCGGCACAAATGTTCTCGGCGCAAAAGTCACGGAACCCTTCCGCAAATATGAATTATATTTTTATTTTATTTAAACCATTCGCGTCATACTTAAGACGTGCGCATTATTTTTAAGTAGCCGAAGCATTTTACTGTTTATTTTAGAGAAATTTGGCATTTATTTATTTCATTTATTAAATACTTTAAAATTTTGTATACTAATTTTTAAAATATTTTTTATACTTCCCCTCCGTCTAAATTTTTGCTCAAAATTATTTAAACCCATTAAACTAAATAAAAATTAATTTTTTTGTATTTTTCTTTTCGAATAATTAATTAAAATAAATAATTTAAATTAATTTTTGATAAAAATTTTCAATTCACATAGATTAGCGAGAATTTTTTTTTGCTTTAGATTAAGATTAACCAATTTAACCAGTGCGAGGCAGAGGTTAAGAAAAGGTGGATATAAGATTTAGGTGGATATACAAGTTGTGACAAATTGGGATAACTTTTCTTTTAGTCATAACTTATTTTTTTTGGAAAAAATAAAAAAAAAGAATGATCAATTTTCATAGTTTTTAAAGAGTTACCGTATTTTCTCGAACAATTCCCCTCCCTCGATTAATTCCCCATGCCAAGGAAGGGTTGAAAAAATAATTCCCCAGGGGAATTAATCGAGAAAATACGGCATTCAAAAAGAGTAGGTCTTTTAGTAGTCTTAGTAAAATTTTTTAAATTTTTAGCTAAAAATTTTTTCCAGTTTATTTTTAGCTAAATCAAGCTTAGCTTCCAAAAATATTACAGTTCAGGAATTCGTGAATTAACTTTTAAAACTTATCTCGTTAAACATAAATAATAATGAAATAATTTTAATGTACTATATCAAGTAATTGACTTTATTATTAAAAATGTAAATAGAGATGGGATTTTATACAGTACCTTACTACATACCGTACTAAGAATACGTATTACCGAAAAATACCAGCGGTAGTACGGTAGATTCTATCTTCAGTGTAATTAATTAATATGAAAAAAGGGGAAAAGAAAGTAATGAATAGAAATTCAATCTGTTCAATCTCTCCGCTGGAATCTTAAGTAATTATTAAGCCCAAAGTCTTATGGGGCTTCATTGGACTCACAGACTAGACCGAATATTTTATTAAACCTGAATCCACTTTGCTCTAAATTTTAAATTCATATTACAATTTAAATTGTTTTTTAACATTTCAGTTCAACAAAATCAACAACAACAGCGAAAACCACCACAAAAACTACAAAAAAGACAACTACAACAACCATCACAACAACTACCGAAGCCTTTACTGAAACAACAACAATGGATCGAGAAAAACAAATGTTAAAATCGGCTGAACGTTCATCTTTACTTAATAGAAAACCAACAAGAAAAAGAGTTGCAGGAGAATGCAACGATTTACATGGTTGGGAATTTTGTTTAAATTATTTTTAAAGTTTTGATGGTCACATCTTATTCCTGATGATAGAATAAGAAGTGATTAGCATGGGGAATGAATCGAGAGGGGGAATTATTCGAGGGAGGGGAATTAATCGCGAAAATACGGTATATGGAACCTCTTCCTGGCACGGTTGTGTTCTGGTTAGTGTTCGGCACAGTTTGATACTATCGCGGTATCCCAATGGCATTGGAAAAAACATAGTTTTAGCATATGTTGATAAGGTAGTTTCTGTGTTATTAATCTGTAACCTTTACTGTTAAGTCCATATTTTTGAATTTTTAGTCTATATTTTACCATTTTTTCGATTGGTAGTTCATATAATTCCTTATCTTACTTAAGCGTTGATTATTTCACATTTGAATTCCTCCTAGTTGCGAATAAATAAAACCTTATAGTGAGGGTAAGATTTGTTTAAGTGCCAGTTACAACATCCAAATTTAGCGTTACGTAACTCAAGATGAGGAGTACCTAATTTTGTAGCGTCTTCTAAATATATGTACTTAGCTTTGCGTCTTTAAATTAATTTTCTGTTAAGACAAGCTTTAACATCCAAAAATAATCTCAATGAAGATGAAAAAAATATATGCTGGAAATTTTATCAGCAAATTAATTAATAAATTTAATAATAAATTATATACGAAGCATTTTAAATTATAGTCGTATTTAAATTAACAGTTTTTTAACTCTCAAGAATATGATTTTTTACAAACAAATTATCTGAAATTAAAATTTATTTATCTTAGATCTCTGTAAATTTTGGACATCAATTGGTGAATGTAAAAATAATAAGGATTGGATGCGGGATCATTGCCCTGTTAGTTGTGATGTTTGTACTAATGGTAAATAGAATAAATATTTTTTGAATGAGGGGAAGTATAATAGAAATTTTAAAGGATCATCAGTCTGTGTCGATCGTCATCGTTTTTGTGATTTTTGGGCATCTATGAAAGAATGTGAAACAAATGCTGTTTGGATGCTTGTAAATTGTCCTCGTTCTTGTAAGGTGTGAAAGTATTTTTTTTTAACTTTTTTTAATTGGACCTCGCTTTTACCCAGGGTACTGAGGAATTATTTCATTACTTAGTGGTAATACCTCTTTTGATAAATTATGCATATACATTCGTAAATATGTATGGCATGCCTTATCTCTTTTGTGACACAATTTGATCAAAATATTGGGTGGGGGCTAACTCAAGGAATACCAACTCAACGAACAGACAAGTCAAGGAAAAGGCAGGTCTTTCCACTTGGTCCACTTGTCTTTTCCTTGACTTGTTGTTTCTTGAGTTAGCCCGACACGCAAAAGATTTACATGTGACATGTCATATCAGAAACTTTATATTATTTGAATAGGCTCTAGATAGATGGATCTTCCCTCACACTAACTACTTAACATTAGTTATTTTAACTTAAATTTAAATTATAAAAGATTTTTTTTGAAAAAATTAGAGAGTAAGAGGAGATCTTGAGATTATTTTTTGGAAGCTTGACGTTGTTCATAGCTAATTGACGTCCCCGTCTCAGACTATATTAAGTCTTAAGAATTAACTGATATATTCCCCAGCTCTTGAATATTATTTTTTAATTTTGAGTTATTTTTCTCGAAAAACCCTCCCACTTATATTTAACAATTAAAAAATATGTATTTTGTTTAAATAGCTATGTAAAGGCGCTTCTGCAAAACGAGCGGAATTAGGAATATTTGAAGAATCTGACTGTACTTTTGTTTCAACACGTGAAGGTCAATATATTTATTCGAAAATTTTATTTTCTCCGAGTTCTCTAAAATCTGAGGTTCTGTTTCCCTTTAGATACCACAATTCGTCGTACAATTTCCAAATCAGATGTTCGTGTAAGCAACAATGCTTTTGGTTGTTCTCCCGCTTTGACTAGACCTAATTGTAACAAAAATCTCTGCTATCATTTAAAATTCCGAACTCTAGATGGTTCGTTTTTTGTTTAATTTATGGCAATATGGGCAATTAAAAAACGTTTTTTAGTAATATCTTTTCTAGGAAAAATATAAATTATTTTGTTTTTAAATTTTAATAAACATTTTTGTTGCAGACAGTTTAAGGACTACACGGAGATTTCATAGTATTTTTGGAAGCTAGAACATCGTTCTAGGCTATAAATATTTTTTGTAAGATTTTATCACAGTTACCTAAGGATACCGATAATATCCATGGATGGTTTTGATCATGAAGTGCCGCGGATATTGACATTAAAATTTATGACCCTGAGCATCCCATATTATTCAACATCACTTCGAATTAAATTTATTTCGCATTTAGGAACTTGTAACAATTTGGAGAAGCCCTTGTTTGGTGCGGCATTTATGCCTTTGGCTAGGTGAAAATTTTTTAAATACAATAATTTATTTAAATTTCAAGGCTAAAAGAGCCTGTTTATGATGACAAGATGGCAGCTCCTGTTGGTATATTATTTTTAGATTTTATAGGGGCAATACACCGTCCATTACTAGATTTTTAGTCATATTATATGTTCGTATTTTTCGATTGATTGTCCAAATGAATCCTACCACTAATTATAACTTATACGTCCAAAATTTTATTTTTAAATTTGTCTAAGCAAAGTTAACCGTTAATTTTGTGAACTCTAATGTGTGAACGGTATTCTTAGTCGGGCTGTTTTTGTACCTATACGAAATTATAATATCAATTTCTTATCTCATTTTATTTTCTAGCCTCAATTAATCATTTGAAGTCCTCCTCAAGAGAAGCAAGCAGATTAGTTAGTTAATCTTTCTGAGTATTAAGTAAGCTTTTAAATTAGATGCTCAGTTCAACAGCAGAAATTCCAACAAAATGGAATGCTCTCCTTATGCAATGGGGACAGTTTATTGCTCATGATGTTTCTAAAACTACAATGTTAAATAATCAAGTAAATTAATGGAAAAGTATTTCAGTCCTGTTGAGTTCGCACTTGCAGAATGAATATAAACGAAAATAAATAACCCAGCCTAGGGTTGGATGGTGGCACAGTCAGTTGTGATTCGTTTTGGGCCCTTTCCATTATGGTTCTATTCCATTCAATGAATTTCTCACAGCATGAACAATCGTATATAATAGGTCCGGAGATCGTGAAAAATGCCCTGGATTTTAGACTCGACTCAGGATAATTCCGTCTGTTGTCGGGCACTAATTTAAGCTGTGTAGAATAATTTATTTTTGTTGTACATTAACAGATCTGTGCAAGTTGTCTTCCAGAAGGCGGTACTTGTTTCCCTGTAATGCTTAGCCGTTTGGATCCAACGTAAATATTTTTTAAATTTATTTTTTAAAGAAAAATCTTAAATAAAATTTTGTGAGATAATTTAAGCTTTGGCCGTTTTCTTTGCCTTCCGGTTGCTCGCTCGTCTCCTGTAAATAAAAAAATTAAGAAAAGATTTATTTTTTTAATTTTTAGGTCTGCGGAACAGGAGAAGACAATAATGTTCGTCAGCAATACAATGAAAACACAGCTTTTATTGATGGATCCATGGTAAGCATTAGTAGCCGGATCTGATCGTTTTGATCCGGATGGGTTTTTTTGGATTCTTGGTTCAAGTGCAAAATCCGTCTCCATAAAATTTATAGCCGCGAACAATGTTCCGGTTTCCAAAAATAATAACCTTCTCAAACATTATCACATGTTTAGACAAAAATTTAATGTTTTTTAAAATTTAAAAACAAAACAATTTATATTCTTCAAGAAAGGTTTAAAATCAGACTAGGACATTGATACGGATATGGATACAGATATTATAAAAATGCCTGCGATAGCCGTCTGTTTATCCGGATACAAAAAAATTCACTTTTTCAGCGCCGCAGGCGAAAATTTTGAGAATTCTGGAGTTTTTTCCATACTCATTTGTCAGCGCGCTGCAGGTAATTTTCGAGGAAATTTTGTCAAAAATAAACCCCCAAGAACTAGTTCCAAACTAGTTCCAGATAATCGTTAGTTCCGTAGTTCTAGTTCCGGAACTGGAACTTTGCCCATCACTGCTTCCAGAAGGTGTAAAATTAATTTTTTAGTTACCTAAATTACTAAAAATTAATAATTAAACCAGCAAGAGTTCATAATAGCAGAGATTTTTGTTACAATTGATACTTATGTACCTGATTAATTCAAGAAATCCAGTTTGATACGGTCCGGCATAAGCGCGAAATTCTAACCTTTTTTTCAAAAAATTTTTTAGGAAATTCAAGCAATTAGATTCCCGAAAAATAAATTTCCTGGTCACTATTAAGAATAATATTTAAGAATTGTCCCGGCATTCTGGCATATTTTAGTAGATTTTTAGTATTACATATGAATTATTGCAATAGATTTTGTTAATAATATTTATTTGACATAGTAATCAGTTTACCTCTATTTCTTTGTTGTTAATTTTTTGGATGCCTAATATGTACCTATTTCTTAGGCAATTAATATATATTAAAAGATACAAAATTTTAAAAATTATAACATACTTACCTACTATACTGTATTTCTTCTAGATGTGCGACCGGTTGGTTTATTTTAAAACCATCCTGTACAGGGTCGGTTTCAGTGTTGGGTATAAGACATTTGTTTGCTCCTGCTCCGGGGTTTTCAATTTTTTGGCTCCGGCTCCGATGGAGCTGGCTCCCGGTGCCATACTCAGCACAGATCGGTTCATTAGAGGGATCAGTCTAATACAGAGAGTCGCAAAATTAGAAAAATGCAGTAATTATCAAAAGGTCTATGGAAGCAGCCATCGAGACCAATTTGTGTTTCGCCAAGGTGCTTTTATGAAAACAAACGTCCTTCGTTCCCGTGTATTTCCACCTGTCGACAATAATCAAAATATTATTGCTGGAGATGATAGAGCGAATATTTTTGTTGGCTTAGCTGCTTTGCATACTCTTTTTGTGCGGGAACATAATCGGTTGGTTTTATGGAACAATAAATTATTTTTTATTAAAAGTATCAGGGATCTAACCGGATTGATTACAGAAAATATTGAATTTACATGACCCTTCGTATTAATAAATAGATTAAAGTTTAGTTAATAATATTTTTATTTGTAGCCATCATGACAATTTTCATTTGCGCATTGTATTTTTTGGGTGCCTAATAATTCTTAGGCAATTATTTAATTTCTAACCGCCCCAATTTCCGTCGTGTTTTTCAAATACGGAGATAAATAAAATTTTTTAACGGGTAACAACCCGTTGTTTTTTGTTCGGGATTTCCAAATCCTAAAATTCGGATTTTATATTACGAATGCGGACTAAATTACAGATTCTTCGTTTATTAATTTTTGTTAGGAGCAGAGGGTTTAATTAATACTTTTCGATCTATGTATGTATTTTTATTAAACATTTTTAAGTATTGCTTTGCTTCTTCAAAAAGTGAACCCGCATTGGGACCACGATAGAATTTATTTGGAGACTAGAAGAATTGTTGGGGCTGTTATACAAGTATTTAGTCAAATGATTTTAGAGAATTTTCTGTTAATTTCAGAAAATAACATATGAAGATTATTTGCCTAGGCTTTTTGGCAAAAAATTTGATGAACTTATTGGAAAATATAAAGGATATAATCCAAAAGTTGACCCCTCAATTTTTGTAAAATTTATTAAAATTGTTAAAATTTTTGTGGTAATTTCTGCCTAATTATTGTGGTCGGAAACGAACAGTCTACTGAACCGGGATTGAAAACCGGTGACTAGAACATTCCTCAAAAGTATTTGCTAAAGAATATTACTGTAAAGTATATAGCTATTTCATTCCTAAGGTTATCAAAAGGCGGCGTGGTTAATGGCTAACACATCAGTCCTGTCTACTGAAGATGCTGGTTCGCTCCCAGCCGCCGATTAACCTTTTACACATCTAAAGGAGAAAAATAGCTATAGCACAGCTGCTTTACTTTACTTCATTTATGGGATAAACGTGTTTAAAATTTTAACTAAAAATCGACATAGGATATCCAAAAAACCGTATCGCTCTGGCACATTACATGGTGGTTCTGTTCCATATCCTATCCAATAAATATTGCCATAACGCAATTATAACTAGGGTTGCGCTAGGTCGAGGTTTTTCGAAAAAACCGAGACCAAGGATCAGTGAGATTGAAAAAGCCTCGGCGAGACCTCGACCTCGCGCAACCCTAATTATAGCTCGGTGATACGGTTTAATAATCGGTTGTGTTTAACTTTATTTTATATTAATTAATCCGACGAAGATTTTGTTTAAATAATTTAATTTAATCACTAAACACTATTATTTTATGTCGTAACTTTCTATTTTTGTAAGCCAATTTCTCTTTGGCTAATTCGTTTAGAGTTCCCTGTTTTAATCATTGCTTATTTCTTTTTTGACCAATCTTTTGTATTTTTTCGCTAAAATGGATGCTTAAATAGAAATCTCGCAAAAAATCTCGATGCTATGTAGGAAAAGGAGGGAGAGAGAGTTCCGAATCTACCGTGCTCCAAATCCCTTAAGAAAAAATTTTTTTAATTTTTAGAATGAATTCACAAGTTGCGCATTTCGGTTTGGTCATGGAATGATTCAAGTTCCTTCCCTTTATGATTTAAAAATAAGAAATTTTTTCAGGAATTTTATCCTTTTTTTAATCAAGAATTTGCTCAAATTGGTAAAAAAAATTTTTTTAATATTTTTTAATAATTTTTGTTATTTTTGGGTGGAATACCATTCAACGAAGGAATGTTTAAATCTGTCCATATTTTGTAAGGCAAAAATTTTTTTCGAGAAATTTTTTTTATTTTTTAGAAATAATTGAATAGATCCTTTAGTAAGAGGTAATTTTTACTAAAAAATTTTATTTTAAGAAGAATTATCAAAAAAATATTTTTTAGGTTTAATGTCATTACCTGCAAGACTGCCACAAAGACTGACTGTTTCTGTAACTGAAAAGATTTTTGGAAATTCTGATTTGGGGTAAAAATTAAAATTTAATTAAATTTTTTCGGATTTACACAGAAAACCAGCATTTTATGAGTAATATGAGAAATTTAAAAATAATTTTTATATTACTTTACTAAATCTTGCCATATTACTAGTTCCCAGTTCTTTTATTTTTGTAAGCTAAAAAGCGCTTGAGCTATCTAATAATTTACAATTTTAACATGTTAGTGACATCGGTGACTTAATTTTAAGAAAAAACCATTCGTTATTTTTGTGTTGGGAAATTTAACACCTTTTTTTGTTAATTTAAAAATAGTTCTATAAAAGCTTTAGTTTTTTGTGAACTGTAATTTTAAAATTAGGAATAAAAAATTTCTTTCAATTAATAAAATTCGTTAAATTGTGGTAATAATTATGTTTCTTAAATTTTCGAAAAAGTCATTATTAGTTCACTAGTCTCAATTATTTTAACTTATAGCGTCGAATACGATAAATAATCATAAAAAAGAGCTAGACGCTATAAGTTAAAATAATTGAGACTAGTGAACTAATAATGACTTTTTCGAAAATTTAAGAAACATAATTATTACCACAATTTAAGGAAAATACTAGCTCTTTTTTATGATTATTTATCGTTATTCGACGCTATAAGTTGAAATAATTGAGACTAGTGAACTAATAATGGCTTTTTCGAAAATTTAAGAAACATAATTATTACCACAATTTAAGGAAAATACTAGCTCTTTTTTATGATTATTTATCGTTATTCGACGCTATAAGTTGAAATAATTGAGACTAGTGAACTAATAATGGCTTTTTCGAAAATTTAAGAAACATAATTATTACCACAATTTAAGGAAAATACTAGCTCTTTTTTATGATTATTTATCGTTATTCGACGCTATAAGTTGAAATAATTGAGACTAGTGAACTAATAATGGCTTTTTCGAAAATTTAAGAAACATGATTATTACCACAATTTAAGGAAAACACTAGCTCTTTTTTATAAATATTTATCGTTATTCGACGCTATAAGTTGAAATAATTGAGACTAGTGAACTAATAATGGCTTTTTCGAAAATTTAAGAAACATAATTATTACCACAATTTAAGGAAAATACTAGCTCTTTTTTATGATTATTTATCGTTATTCGACGCTATAAGTTGAAATAATTGAGACTAGTGAACTAATAATGGCTTTTTCGAAAATTTAAGAAACATAATTATTACCACAATTTAAGGAAAATACTAGCTCTTTTTTATGATTATTTATCGTTATTCGACGCTATAAGTTGAAATAATTGAGACTAGTGAACTAATAATGGCTTTTTCGAAAATTTAAGAAACATAATTATTACCACAATTTAAGGAAAATACTAGCTCTTTTTTATAAATATTTATCGTTATTCGACGCTATAAGTTGAAATAATTGAGACTAGTGAACTAATAATGGCTTTTTCGAAAATTTAAGAAACATAATTATTACCACAATTTAAGGAAAATACTAGCTCTTTTTTATGATTATTTATCGTTATTCGACGCTATAAGTTGAAATAATTGAGACTAGTGAACTAATAATGGCTTTTTCGAAAATTTAAGAAACATAATTATTACCACAATTTAAGGAAAACACTAGCTCTTTTTTATAAATATTTATCGTTATTCGACGCTATAAGTTGAAATAATTGAGACTAGTGAACTAATAATGGCTTTTTCGAAAATTTAAGAAACATAATTATTACCACAATTTAAGGAAAATACTAGCTCTTTTTTATGATTATTTATCGTTATTCGACGCTATAAGTTGAAATAATTGAGACTAGTGAACTAATAATGGCTTTTTCGAAAATTTAAGAAACATAATTATTACCACAATTTAAGGAAAACACTAGCTCTTTTTTATGATTATTTATCGTTATTCGACGCTATAAGTTGAAATAATTGAGACTAGTGAACTAATAATGCTTTTTCGAAAATTTAAGAAACATAATTATTACCACAATTTAAGGAAAATACTAGCTCTTTTTTATGATTATTTATCGTTATTCGACGCTATAAGTTGAAATAATTGAGACTAGTGAACTAATAATGGCTTTTTCGAAAATTTAAGAAACATAATTATTACCACAATTTAAGGAAAACACTAGCTCTTTTTTATGATTATTTATCGTTATTCGACGCTATAAGTTGAAATAATTGAGACTAGTGAACTAATAATGGCTTTTTCGAAAATTTAAGAAACATAATTATTACCACAATTTAAGGAAAACACTAGCTCTTTTTTATGATTATTTATCGTTATTCGACGCTATAAGTTGAAATAATTGAGACTAGTGAACTAATAATGGCTTTTTCGAAAATTTAAGAAACATAATTATTACCACAATTTAAGGAAAACACTAGCTCTTTTTTATAAATATTTATCGTTATTCGACGCTATAAGTTGAAATAATTGAGACTAGTGAACTAATAATGGCTTTTTCGAAAATTTAAGAAACATAATTATTACCACAATTTAAGGAAAATACTAGCTCTTTTTTATGATTATTTATCGTTATTCGACGCTATAAGTTGAAATAATTGAGACTAGTGAACTAATAATGGCTTTTTCGAAAATTTAAGAAACATAATTATTACCACAATTTAAGGAAAACACTAGCTCTTTTTTATGATTATTTATCGTTATTCGACGCTATAAGTTGAAATAATTGAGACTAGTGAACTAATAATGGCTTTTTCGAAAATTTAAGAAACATAATTATTACCACAATTTAAGGAAAATACTAGCTCTTTTTTATGATTATTTATCGTTATTCGACGCTATAAGTTGAAATAATTGAGACTAGTGAACTAATAATGGCTTTTTCGAAAATTTAAGAAACATAATTATTACCACAATTTAAGGAAAACACTAGCTCTTTTTTATGATTATTTATCGTTATTCGACGCTATAAGTTGAAATAATTGAGACTAGTGAACTAATAATGGCTTTTTCGAAAATTTAAGAAACATAATTATTACCACAATTTAAGGAAAACACTAGCTCTTTTTTATGATTATTTATCGTTATTCGACGCTATAAGTTGAAATAATTGAGACTAGTGAA